GGAGGAGAAAACAGAGTTAATGTTTTGGGTCCGATGACCCTTCCTGAGTTCTGAGGAAGGGTCACCGGACCCGAAACGTTAACTCTGTTTTCTCCTCCACAGATGCTGCCAGACCTGCTGAGCTTGTCCAGCAATTTTGTTTTTGTTCCACACAATTAACTATCTGGAAGAGCAGATGCTTCAGTGTCATGTCTCATTCAGAAGACACCATCTCAACAGTACAGAGTTTTCACAGTATTGCATTAAAATGCCAGCATAGATCATGTGTTTTGAAGCTTCTGGAATTGAGCTTGACCTCGACATTCTGGCCAAGAGGCGATAGTGCTTCCATTAAGCCAAGGCTGAGATTTTCTACTATCATCATGGTAGCAGATTCTAACTCCTGAATTAACACATCAAAGAATGATTCATTGAAGGTGGGAATAGGGAAATGGTTTGTCAGTGTTAGTGATAAAAACTAACAGCATTAGAATTTCAAAATGTCCTAGGGTTGTATTAAAGCAGAATCCACATGAACAGAATGAAGGAAAATACACAAAAATGTCATTGTTTGCTCGCTTCTAATGCATAGTTAAACAGTGTTACTGAGGTTATAGATTTAAATTTGCATACAGTTTGAGAATTCACAATAGGATGATACCATTATGTGAATTTTGAAATAGATCAATAAAGGTAAACGTGGAAATTCCTTTTTAGAATGCATCTCAGATTGCTTTCTGAATTGCTGAGTTTCTCGTCTAACAAAGAAGAGTTCTCAATTTAATTCTGAGAAATGAATTGTGGAACATTGCTGATGTGACAGCAGAAGAACAGTAAGAAAATAGTTATTGCAAAATAACTGTGTTCTATGTAAGACTAAAGGAAAAGGAATAGTTGTAGGTAAGACCACTAGACCAACAAAGTGGAAAGTGCAGTTACTAGACCTTAATTAATAAAGCAAAAAAGTTGTAAACAGGTTCATTGATAAACAGTGGAAACTCTTATAATATGTGATGCATGTAATGCAATATTAAGTATATTTCTGAGATAAATAGGGGTTGGAAATCATTATAGAGATTCATAAATCGAATAAAATTCGAATGAAATGTTAATACATATGATAAGATTATAATTTCCAATCATAAGGAGTACAGAAAATGTTTGTTGAAAGAGTATAATGGAGGTAGATACCATGATTAGGTTTAGTAAGGGTGATAATGACAAATATTAGTAAAACAAGTAGTAGGGATATTAAAAAGTAAATGTTTAGAGGAGGTAAGCTCAAATCAGTGATGAATAAAGGGGAATTTCAATTCTGGAGGCAGAAGGTATAGCAAATTGCATTTATATAGTGTCTTTAAAAACTATGCAAGATGCTTTACCAGAGGGTAATCAGACAAAAATTCAAAGGGCAATGAAGGAGACATTAGTGCAGGTAATCAAAAGGTTGCTCAAAGAGATTTTAAGCAGCCTGTTGCATTAGTTTGGGGAGGGGATTCCAGGGACTAGGGTGGGTGAAAGTTTGAGGGGAGATATTTAATTTTTTGCATTAATATTTACGAAGGATAACGAAAGTGAGGATACTGGTATTTTCAGTGGAAGATGAGGAGTATTTGATGGCACCAGCCATAATAAAAGAATAAGTTGTGAAATGGAGGAACTTAGTCCGTGAATCACTCGCTTCTGATTGTTGCATCTTGGCTGTTGAAAACTGTGAGAAAGAAGAGAACAGATGCAGTAGCTATTTTTTTCCACTCTTCCTTCAAAATTCACTGGTCTGGGGGGGATGGGCACCTCTCTGCAGAAGCAAAGCAGGAAAGTTTTGCTGAACCAGTATAAAACTTTGGTTCAGTCACACCTAGAGTATTTAATCCATTTCTGGTCCCCACTCAATAGGAAAGATCCTTGAAAGGGTGCAAAGGAGACTTGCCAGAATGGTTCCAGAATTGAGGAATTTCAGCTACAAAGATAAGTTGAAGAAAATGTAGTTATTTACCTTGGAGGAAAGGAGATTGAGGGAAATTTGATATGGATGTATGAGATTGTGCAATTTTAGATAAAGTTGACAAAGAAAAGCTATTGCCTCTATCTGATGACACAACAACTCGGACGCTAATTAAAGAATTCAGGCAAGTGATGCAGGAGGAGATGTGGGGAAGAACTTTTTTTAAAAAAACCATAGAAATGTCTCTTAATTAAATCTGCTTGATATAATTTTAAAAGATGAATCGTTATCATTGACTGTCTCTACTGCTGACTGTCCAAGAGGCTAAAATTTAACTAGCAAATCCTCCATTTATCAAGATTAAATATTTAAATGTGAAAAAAAGTCAGCATGGTGCAAAATAATATTCAGAAGAGTACTATGCAATCTTGAGTGAAGTATGAAGTAATTATCTTTGGGGAGTTATCTTTTCTTCCTTTTACTTGTCTAATTAATCCAGCTAAAATCGATCTAATTTACGACCCTCCCACCCCAATGTAGAAGATTCCCATTTATATTTTATCTGACAATCTAAAACTCCAGTATTGCAGATATCAAGGTGCAATAAATGAAATATATCTTTGAAGTGTTTATGTTCTAACAAGGAGTATTGCTTGTGCTTTGAAGAGTTGTATCCTTTGTGGTCACAGCAAGGTCCCTACCAGAAATTTCCATTGAAACTCAAGAAACGTCGTGATTGACAAAACGAAGTTTCCGTGTCAATATTTTTGAAGGATATACAGACTATGCTTTCTTACACATCTAACAGTTTCCGGTATTGTTTTCTAGAAACTTTGTTTATTTTTGATTAGTTATGAGAGGTTACAAGATGAAATAAATTTGCCATTTATTTTTCAATAGGAAGGAGTGCATATTCACAATTGATCCAGCCACTGCTAGAGATTTGGATGATGCGCTGTCTTGTCGCAAACTTCCAGATGGTATGTTTTTGAAACACATTTTTCTTTTGAAATTCATGACTGAAAATTTAGTGTTTCTTTCTACAATATTTGAAAAGAAATATTAAAAAAAAATTAAGAATGGTCAAACTACATGACTTCTAAATCGTGTTTCTTTTACCATGACTCAGAAAGCAATGTGGCCTTGATTTTGTAGTCAAGAGTGAAGTGATAGTACTCACCACTAAATTTGAAGAAAACTGTACTCAATGATCTAACAATTTCTGTGGGATGGTTTGCCCCTTTCATGACAGCAGTTTAAATCTGTTGCCAGATCAAGGGTGTGGATTGGCATGCAGCACCCAGTGATTTCAATAAACAGCTAATCACACCAAAGTATCCATGCACAGCAAACCAGGCTGTTAAATCACTTAATTCTTTACTGTTAATGTTGAATTTTAGGTAGTAAATTAAATCGTTATGATTGAATTCTAAGAGAAGCTGAAGTAAACCAACCTTTTCAAAATATTTTGAAATAAATATATTTACTTTTTTTTATTCATTATGGAGAAACTTACCATTCCAGAATTATAAAATTACTTGATTACTTCTGGAGAGATTCAAGAACCGGCACTGATAGCAATTTCTGAAACTCTACGTTATCTTGCATGTGTGTGGACTCCAGCAGTTGCTGTCAGTTTCAGTGTAGTAATGAGAGTGAATACTGATGGTTTTGTCCTCATTGCTTTCTAAAATCTAGGCTTACAGTCTGCAGGTGAAAGAAATGCCAAATGTGCCTTTCATTCTGATAGAGATAAAATTACTATTTCTCTGTCATCTCCAGAATATTCTATTTTATAATACGTAATTGTGTAGTGTATATATAATGATTTTGAACATCTATGGATATTTTTAATACACATTACAAGTATGAAAGACTATTCATACTGTTGCAGAAACTCCTTTCATCTTTAAAAATGTAGTTGTTGGCTTGAAAGAATCCTCATTGGAGGATGCTTAAATTGCCAACAAGGTAAGAGGGATACAGTGCAACTGCTGTTATTCTGAAACAAAAACACACAGTGCAAGAAATACACAGCATGCTAGACACCATCTGTAAAAAGACCAGACTAGGTTATGACTATTTGGGTGTGTACCTATCAAAGGCATCATAGCTGACCTTTCCTTGACTGCACTATGTATTTCCTGGCTGGTATATTATAAATTAATATAGTTCAGTGATTTATGACTAATGTAGACACAGGGAAAAAACAATATTTTGGGGGAGAAAATTTTCATTTCCATGGCATGAAGCTGAGTGGTACTCCTGCTGAAATTGTGAAGCATTGCAACAATTAAGCTCATTCACTTTCTGTGACATTGCCAACAATGAGTCAGAGGATAGAATCCGTCATTAATGTGTAGCTGATTTCCCTGTGGAGTTACTGATGTTATTGTCTTTTGCACTGTAACCTATTTAAGAGTATTATGGTGATAGTCATATACAATTCTCTATCCTATGACGTATATATCTCATAATCATGAATTCATTACTAAATACTAACATTAAATGAAATAAGTAATTTGGTTAAAGTAAGAAATGAAAATTCAAGATTATTTATTTAGTCTTAGTTTTAGATAAAATTCTTTAATATATAATCATTTTTAAAAAAGAAATTATTCAAATGTAATAAAGTTATCTAAATGACGAATAATCTGATAAAATAGAGGAACATTAAAATAACCACCTTATAAATAACTTGGATGTCAACAGAACTTAATTTGAGTTGAACTTTATATAATTTTATATATTTATGTAAATTGATATTTTAAAATGAATTACGTCATATAAGGAAGGTATGAGGAGGGAAATTGATGCTTTAACTGCGTTAAAAGTATCAAAAAGTAATATCAAGCAAAACAAAAAAAAAAATTGGAAAAACTAAACGAGTTTAAAGGAGCAACACGTAAAATTTTGGACTTCTGTCCGCAGAAGATGCTTTGGGCAGGCTGGGTGTGGAGAAGGATATTTGCCCATGAATCTATGCCCTGCTCCCTTCTGCTTATTTCCACTAAACTGCTAGCCACTTACCTTCTCTTCCTGGCTTATATGTTTGGTATATTGCAAACAGCTCTCTTAGGTACACCTCAAATACTTGTATCGTTCAAAACGTCGTCATTACATCTCTCTTCAAGACAGAACCCTTTGTCCTTGCAAACTATCATACCATCTCCGACTTAACTTTCCACTCCACAAGCTGCTCCAAAAAGCCATTTTGCAGACGTTCCACATATTCCTTATCTTGAGATCCGCTACAAACCTGGTTATCCTCGTCTGTCTGCATTTTGAAGTCCCTGAGGACTATCGTAATAGTGCCTTTCTTACATGCCTTTTCTATCTCCTGATTACTGAGGTCTATACATCACTCCCGTAAGTGTCTTTTCTCCTTTGCAGTTACTCATCTGTACCCACACAGATTCTATATGTCCATTTCTGATTCACTTTTTGCTATCAATTTAATTTCATTTCTTACTAATAAGGCAATACCACTCCTTCTTCCTATCTGCCTGTCCTTTCAATAGGATGCACTATTTTCTCCCTGGCTTCCTTTAACAACGAAGGGTACAATTCATCTGGCACTGGTGACTTATCCATATTTAAGATGAGTGGTCCTTCCATTTATTATTATAATAATAACTATACTTATATAATTATAGTTAACTATTATTACTCTATTGTCACTGTACTCAGAAATTTTCCTACATATTTGCTCCTCTAACCCTTTCCCACTATTCAGGTATTTGCAATACACACCTAGCAATTTGGCTATCCGTTTTTTTGTCATGACCTCAACACACATTGCTTCATTTGATTCTTCATCTTGGTATATCAAAGCCCTTTACAGCTTTTTAATTCTTTTTAACTCTTTAATTGTTTGGCCAATAAAGCTGTACCTTACCTTTTTATCATCACTTCTATCATACCTGAAAACTCATTGATATAGAGCTGACATGCTTGACTCTCTTTAGGCCACATTTCCATTAATGATAATGAGCTTCCATCTGTCTACCTGCATTTGGCATTTGGTTTGTACAGGTACCACCTTTCCCAGAACCAGTCCCAATACCCCAGAAATCTGATGCCCACTCTTCTACACCAGCTTTTCAGTTGTTCAGTTCTCCTATTCTGTGCTCACTGGCATATGGGACTCTTAACTAACTCCCTGAAGTCTGCTTTCTGAACATTGTCTACACTCATCCCTGTTATTTATACCAACATGGACCACAACCTCTGGCTGATCACCCTCTGTCAGAGGAATGCCTGTAGTCACTCCATTGTATCCTTTAACATGGCATGAGGGAGGCAACTACTGTCCTGGAGTCACATCAATGGCTGCAGAAATGCCTGTCTGATCTCTTGGCTGTGAAATCCCATATTCCTATTGCTGTTTCATTCATCTTCTCTTCCCCTCCACCCTCAATTCAGTTAAGCCATCCATTATGCCACTAAATTAGCTCTGCTTGCACTCTCCTAAGGAACAATTGCCCTTACTCATTTCCAAAATGGAATACTCATTAGCAAACAAGATAGATTTCGGGAACTCCTGCAAAAGCTGCCTAGTTTTTGTAGACTGCCTGGCAGTGACCAATTCCTCCTCTGTCTGTATGCTTCAAAGTTGTGGTGTGACCACCTCCCTAGACATGCTATCCATGTAGTCCTCTGTTTTGTGGACGCACGACAGTGACTCAAGTTCTAAACCCAGAGTTTAAGCTTGTTAAGCCTGTGATACTTCCTGCAGATGTATTCTTCTGGAATACATATGATGCATCCGTGACTTCACACATCCCACAGGATTCGCAATCCATTAGTCCGAACTGACGTGCAATCTTGTAACTTCAGAACTTGGTGGAAGAAGCCAAAGACCAAGGGCCTTGATAGATTACAATCCTCAAGTGCTTATGAAATACATGAACTGATAAGATTTGATATGTTCAAGCTTTCGTATGTTTTTACAGATGGCTTGAGTGATGAGTAAATCCTGAAGAGTTAGTATTATTCTTGTGGATTGGACAAAAGGATATACCATATTGAAATCTCAAAACATATGAGATAATGAAGGGACCTACATGTTAGTAGCTGAATTATTAAAGAGCATCCAATAGATGTATAAATGATTTTTTTACAAAAACAAAGTTGCTGGAAAAGCTCAGCAGGTCTGGCAGCATCTCTGAAGAAAAAAGCAGAGTTGATGTTTCGGGTCCGGTGACCCTCCCTCAGAACTGAAGTTCTAGGGAAGGGTCTCTGGACCTGAAACGTTAACTCTGTTTTTTCCTTCACAGATGCTGCCAGACCTGCTGAGCTTTTCCAGCAACTTTGTTTTTATTCCTGATTTACAGCATCTGCAGTTCTTTCGTTTGTTATAACTGATATATGCCTGCGTAAATATAGAACTCTAGTGGTGTGTGATTGTGCTTTAGAAAGAAATCATGGAGGCAGTAACAGAAGTTCTGGCTGAAATTATTTTTTTAATGAGCAAATTGTGTCCTGTGACTGGGATTATTTGCCCGGTTGACTAGAGCTTTGTATTTTGTAGTAGTATTGGTAGTTGAGACCATTATGATGATATTTTTAAAAAAACTTTGCTGTTACAGTTACAGCTCAAGCCTACACGCTTAATGTTTGTTCATTGACAATGTGTTGCGCAATGAAATGAATGCTGTACCTTTGTTGAATTAAAATGAACACCTATTGTTCTGCATTTTTAGATTGAATGAACAGTTTTCAGATTGTGTATTCAGCACTAAATCATTGCTGATATTTCTATGCAGTATTGAGGAAGTACTGCACCGTTGGACTTGTCATCTTTTGGTCTTAATGTTAAACCAATGCCCCATTTGTCTGCTTCGCCGAATGTAAACAATCTCTCAGCACTAATTCAGAGAAGAATAGGAGAATAATCTTAGTTGCCCTATCCAACATTTCTCCCTAAAGCAACCCATAAGAAACAGATTATCAGATCATTATCACATTGCTGAATTTGTGGGTGTTTACAGGGCACAAATTGGCTGCTGCATTTCCTATGTTACAGCTGTGAGTACACTTCAAAAAGTACTTCTTTAACTGTAAAGTGCTTTGAGATGCCTGCTAGTTTGAAAATCATAAGCAAATCAAAACCTTTATTTTAAATTGCAATTCAACTAACAGAGCTTTTATCCAAAATGGCAAAATAAAACCTTTTCTTCCAACTTGACATTACAAAATTCAGTTTTTGAATTGTTTCCAGAGCATTTATATTGGTTCTATAAAATGAGTGGAAAGCAACATGTGGGGCTTGTTAAACTTGGCAGTGTTGTGCAAGTTGCATCCAAGTTTTGATGTAATTTAGAAAGAAATTTCTCATCCTGATATTCTGGTTTGTATTTCTCTTCATTTGGATTTAATGTGCCAGGAGTCCAAAGCAAAATTAATGGTAAATAACAGGCAGCAGATTACCTATGTCTTCAAAGTGTTTGCCTCATATTAGGAATAATCAAGAATTTTAAATGTCATTTATGTGCTATACTTGCATCTCTTCAAAGCAATGCATCCTAAAAATACATCACATGGATCTCTAGAAGTAAAGGCAGTATGATTTTTTTCTTTCAGTATTATGCAACGAAATTTTTATATATCTAGGTTTATTTTTCTGCCTGTTTGGGGTTGAGTGGGAACATCTGTGGGCAGAGCAGCACGTTGGTGTCATTGGCTAAGCCAGCATTTATTGTCCATCCTTCAGTGTCGGTTCGATGTTTTTTTACAGGAATAGTGTGATGAGCTTTATCAACAGATTTTGGACAAACAGGATGCAGCTGGACAGCATTACTGTAAAACAAGAATAGATTGAATTGAAATTGACACTGTCAGTTGCTGGGAGGACAAAGAGTTGGAATATTGTTATTAGGATGTGAGAGGTGATGGAATTACAGAAGCCTTTTTTTTAATTCATGGGTTATGGGCATTGCTAGCTGGCCAGCACTTATTGTCATCCCTAGTTGCTCTTGAGAAAGTGGTAGTGAGCTGCTTTCTTGATGTGCTGTAGGTAGACCCATAATGCCATTAGGATTTTAACCCAGTGTCAGTGAAGAAATGACGATATATTTCCAAGTCAGGATGGTGAAGGGCTTGGAGGGAAAGTTGCAGATGGTGGTGTTCCCATGTATCTGCTGCCCTTGTCCTTCTAGATGGAAGTTGTCGTGGGTTTGGAAGGTGCTGTCTGAAAAAAAATGGCAGATTTCTGTGTGTTGTTGAGAGAGTAGGTACTGCCGCTACTGAGAGTCGATGTTTGTGATGTGCTGCCACGGGCTGTCGTGGATAGTGTCCAGCTTCTTGAGTGTCGTTGGAGCTGCACTCATCCAGGCAAGAGGGGAGTACCCATCACCCTCCTGACTTGTGCCTCGTAGATGGTGGAAAGGCACTGGGGAGTCGGGAGGTGAGTTACTTGCTGCAATATTCCTACTTCTGCAGCTATTTTATTTATATGGTGAGTCAAGTTGAATTTCTGGCCAGTAGTTCCTCCCGGTATGTTGATAGTGGTGAATTCAGTGATGATAACGGCATTGAATGTCAAGGGTGGTAGTTAGATGATCTGTTATTGGAGATGGTCATTGCCTGACATTTGTGCAGTAGGAATGTTACTTGCCATGTTTCAGCCCAAATCTGGATGTTGTCCAGGTTCGGTTACATTTGGACGTGGACTGTATCTGTTATTGGAGATGGCCATTGCCTGGCATTTGTGCAGTAGGAATGTTACTTTCCACATTTCAGCCCAAATCTGGATATTGTCCAAGTTTATTACATTTGGACATGGACTGTATCTGAGGAGTCACGAATGGTGCAATCATCAGTAAACATCCCCACTTCTGACCTTATGATGGAGGGATGGTGAAGCAGCTCAAGATGGTTGGGCCTAGGACACTATTCTAAGGGATTCTTGCAGGGAACTAACATGACTAACCTCCAAAAACCACAACCATTTTCTTATGTGTTAGGTATGATTCCAACCATCAGAAACTTTTCCTAGTGGTTTCCATTGATTTCAGATTTGCTAGGGCCCCTTGATGGCACACTCAGTCAAAGCACCCTTGATGTCCAGATTTGTCACTCTCACCTCACCTCACTTCAGGAATTCAGCTCTTTTGTCCACATTTGAACCAAGGCTATATTGAGGTTAGGAGCTGAATGGCCCTGTATAATCCAAACTGTGCATCACAGAGCAGGTTATTTCTGAGCAGGTGCTGCTTGGTAGTAGTGTTGATGATATTACCCATCAGTGTTTTGGTGATCAAGAGTAGACTGATGGGACAATAATTGGTTGTGTTGGATTTGTCCTGCTTTTTGCGTACTGTACATACATGGCAATTTTCCACACTGTTATGTAGATACCAGTGGTGTAGCTGTAATGCTTGGCTAGGTGTGTGGCAAGTTCTGCAACACAAGTCTTCAGACTCTTGCCGGAATGCTGTCAAGCCTATGGTCTTTGCAGTATCCAGTGTCTCCAACCATTTCTTGATATCTTGCTAAAGTCTGGCTTTAGTGTGAATAGGTTTATGTGCACCACTAATGGATTTTGTTTATCTTGGATTGATTTGCACCAAGATAAATGATGGGGCCTGCCGGTTTGTTAGAGATTTCTGGATTTGTTATTTTTAAGTTTAAAGGGAACACCTATAGCTTGGAGAGGGTTTTAATTTTGTTTTACTTTGTGTTTTGGAACAGTCTTGTGAAGTCCTTGGGTGAGGATAGCTGTATAGACTTGCAGTCCAGAGAAAGGAATGATATAACAAATTCGGTTACCTCGGAGTGAAGAATCGGTGTCAATCCCAGACCAGAAGCATTGGGATAAAACTCGAAGAGGTTACTTAATGCTGAGTACATTTAAACTCGGGTGTGTAGTAACTCCACATAGCTTCTATGTGCATTTTCAGTCTGTAAGTTGAAGTTACATGTGACTGAATTTACCAATATGTTAGATACGGGGATTCTGATGTATTTTATGAGTAGTGTTTTTGGGTGCTGTACTAGGGGTGTGTTTCAAGGCAGTATACAAAAACTGTCTTTTTTATCAATTTAAAAATGAATCTTTTGGGGTTATTGGATTCTCCTTTTAATGTGTATAAAATCCTTGAATTTGTATTATAAGTAGAGGATTTGATTTATTTTATTTTAACTTCATTCCTTCTGCTAATAAATTTCAGTTCTATTGTTAAAGCAAGATCTGCAGCATTGCACGCTATTTTAGTGAGATACCATTTTGTTAAAACAAGTTTTGGAGTTACTATGCACCTGAGTTTAAAACAAGCCAAATTTAAGTCTGGGATCTGACCTATCTGTAAAAACATCAGCTGGGATCACAACAAGGGTATCATCAACCAGGAATAGTATGAAATCCACAATGTAATTGAAAATAGAGACCTGGTGCACGCGCAATTTGCCTAAAGGGCTGTTCTGCCCTATAACAATTGTCTATTTCTGTTTACAGATGATTGGATGTACTGAAGCTCTGTTTCTCTTCTCATCTCATCTCTCCTCCTTTCTTTAAAACTGTCATCTTTGAGAAACCTTTTAATCATTCCTAATGTCTATCTCCTTTGTTTCAGTGTTAGTTGTTTGATTATGTTTTTAGCCATAGATTCCACTCCTCTCCTAGCCCGTAGGCTGAGGCTGATCAGACTGGTTCACACATTTGTGCCTGTTTGAATCTGAAGTAAAATTCTAACTTTGTATTATCTCCATTTACCAAAACCACCTTCTTCTAACTCCACAATGTGTCACATCTTTGCTTGAAACACTTAAGCATGTCTTTGTTACATTTTGTGATATCATGGGGAGACAGTAGTGTAGTAGTAATATTACTGGACTAGAAATCCAGGGGACCAGCCTAATGTTCTGGGGATGTGGGTTTGAATCCCACCATGGCTGATTGTGAAGTTTGAATTCAATAAAATCTGGAAGTTAAAACCAGTCTAATGGCGATCATGTAACTTTTGTCAGTTGTCACAAAAATACATCTGGTTCAGCAATTCTATGTATATAGAATGTGTATTTATTGATGATATTTATAATAATTTATTTAAAGGAAACTTTGAAGTTGGAGTGCATATTGCAGATGTGAGTTACTTTGTTCACGAAGGGACTGCTCTTGATACGATGGCCAGTAAGAGGGCAACCAGCGTCTACTTGGTTCAGAAGGTAAGGAATGTGAAGTCAAACCAGTGATGATCAGTTTAGAGAAATAGTTAATAGTTGTCTAAAACCGGTTTAATAATTAGGAGTGCATTGTAACAAAAGTACAAATAGGTTAATCTCTTAAACATACCCTACGAATGAGTTTATCAGAGCTGATGGATAAATTCAGTCACTGAACACTTAAGTGTGCACTCCTTTACTCTGAATGACACAGGTCAGTAAATGGAACTTACAAACATATAGCTTATACAGCCTGGATAAAAATAAGTTGTTAAAATTTTGAATTATTAACTATTTCCAGTATACATGCACATGAGAGGAGTGCAGTGTTAAGGGTTTTCTGCTAAAAAGTGTTGAGAATACCATGTGCTAAATTGTATTCAGAAATGATTGAAACTAAATTTTCTTCATCTCCACAAAGTATTTACGGCCTATCAGATCGACATAAGCCATCTCCCACACCACCTCTTCTAATGGTATTAACACATTCTTCTATTCTCTCTTTCAAACACTGAAGTAGTTAATGCTCATGTGCATCCATTATGTTTACCCCAGCTATTCCTGTGATAGTGAGTTATGCATTCTACTTGTTCTCTGGGCAAAGAAGTTTCTCCTGATGTGGATTTATTAGTGACTATCTTGTATTATGATTACAGAAAGGGGCAAACTATAGAGTGGGATTAAGGAAGGACTTTGATTATTCTGATATAAATTGATATACTAATTGTATAAAGGGCAGAGAGATGGAAGACTTTTTGAGGTGTTAAGAAGAACTTTGTCAGTATGTTTTAAACCCAATGTGAAAGGATGCATTGCTAGATCTAGTTCTGAGTAATTAAGATGGGTCAAATGGATCAAGTGTTATGGGGTAATATTTAAAGACTAGTGATCATTTAGCTCAGAGTTTAGATTAGCTGTGGGAAAGGACAAGGAGCACAGTAGAGTAAAATACTTAAGGGCCCGTTTCCATTGGGTATAAAAACATTTGGCCCAGGTATATTGGAATCAAAAAGTTAAAGGTGGCAGAACAAGTTGAGAAAGGCATGTTCCCAAGGATGAAGGCTTTCAATCATTGGATAGATTGGCAAAGCTAGGGTTGTTCTCTTAGAGAATGTTGAGAGAAAATTAAATGAAGGGGTCCAGAACCAGAGGCGCTGACATATTGCTCAATAGGAAAACGACTGATGAGAACATGAGGCAAAACCTTTTTCTGCAGAATGTGGTTAGGATCTGCCTGAGAATGGGTGTGGATTAAATCTTGGGTTTCAACAGGGATTTGGTGGGGAGCTGAGGAGAAAAAAAGTTGCAGGATTCTGAAGAAAAGGTGAGTGAAAATAACCAAGCTGCTCTTACGAGGAGCCAGTGTGGATGCAATGGTTTCCATCTTTGTTGAAACTATTTGATGATGAACGCCCAAGAAATCTGGTTTTCACCCTTGCAATGTTTCTTTACCATTTTTATTGTATGAAGACCAGAACTGTTCACCGTAACCTGGTAGTCGAGCCAATGTCCTATTTATCTTTAAATATTTCTCCTGTAGAAGTGAACCCCACTGCTTTGTATTCTTTACTTAGGGATTTATCATCCTACATCACTACTTTTAGTGGTCTCTGAATTTGTAACATTCCATTCCTGTACCCCATTTTAGTTTCCATGAAATATGTGGCCTCTTATTCTCACAAAGTGTACTGTCTCCTATTAAGCTATTAACTTGACAGTTGCACACTATTCTGCAAATTTATTGATGCCTTCCAGTATTTTGTTATAATCCTTTGCTATAATCCTTTACATCTACAAACTTTGAAACCATACTTTGATTGACGTATCAAAATTGTTTATTGAAGTAGTGAACAGCATTAGATCCTGCATCATCAGTCTTCACCATTTCTCACCCTTGCCAGTCTGAGTAACTACCTTTCATCAAAATGCTATTTCAAATAATTCAATGAGGGTGGTTAAATATGACTTTCACTTTCGAATCTGACAACTGACTACTCTTGATTACCTTTTCAATCTCTAGATAGTTTCGTTATATCTGTGAATAATTGATTAAGGATTTTTTCATTTTTATCACTGATGTTAAGCTAATGAGTCCAACACTCCCTTTGTTGTAGGCATGTTTATATTACAAACATTGTGTTTGGTATAGCTAATTTATACTTGCTTTTCAATTGGATATATTTACCCTGGATTCTGTTCACCATTTTAACTATCCCCCACTGTTTATCTACTGCTTGGTCAATAAATGTCTTCAGCTTATTTTCCTATGTCTATTTGTATCTCCTTTAAATAATTTTTCCTCAATTTATTACTGTAATTTTTGTCTCACTTGTGCTCTTGTCAATATTTATCTTACTATGCTGTGATTGCTATTGCCCAGATATTCCCCTATGTTCACTCCTCAACTCTCTTAACTATTCTGATTCATTTCCCAGTATAAACCAGATTTGTGTGTTGAATTCATGTCTTAATGAGAACCACTCCTAAGTAGAAAAAATTGTATTTAAAATAAAAATTAATATAATTATTAATATAAGTACTGAAAAAGGCAGACTTTTTGATCAGTGGAACATTTGATTATGTTTTCAATAGCTATCTGATCATCAAAATGACCTTTTCCAGTTAACAGTTCAGTTAATCAGAAAGTGATTGCAACATAGAATTAAATTTTTGGTTATAACAGAAATATTCTTTTGGAATCATTATAATAATATGAAAAATCTTAAAACTTATGAAGAAAAAAGTAAAACATGAATCATTTAGATTCAAGTGACTTATTTTGTAGAATTTACGTTCTCTGAGAAATTTAGAGTTTGGTGCCTCTAGAAATGAAACTATTTGCCAAAGTGGTGAAACTTGCCTACCAATGCTATTGAACAATTTCTGTTTGAAAAATCAACAAATGATATTCTCATCTTCATGCCACTTAATCAACAGCTTGATGTTTTTAAAACCTTGTATCCTTGGTGGTACTGAGGAATATTGGAAATAGGAGCAGGGCTAGGACATTTGGCTGCTGTGCCTGCTCTGACATTCAAGTAAATTTTAGCTGAATTTCTACATCAATGTCATTCTCCCCCCTATGTTGTCATATCCCTTCATTTCTTTTCAGTATCTAGAAACCTAACAATCTCTCTCTGAATATACTCAATAATGAAGTCTGCATAACTGTCTGGGAAAGGGAATTCCAAAGATTCAACACCCTCTGGGTGAAGAAATTCCTTGTCATTTCAGTCCTAATTGGCCTACTGATTGTTCTAAGACTCTGTCCCCTGATTCTAGACACCCCAGTCAGGGTAAACACCCTTGCTGCATCAAACTTGTTGAGACCTATAAGAATTTTGTATGTTTCAATGAAATCACCTCTGATCTATTTGATCTCTGGAGGATATAGGCCCCCATCTCCTCAGTCTCTTCTCATAGGATGTTCTAACTGCTGTTTCCAAAAATTAGTCTGTTGAATCTTTACTCCACTCTCTCTATAACAAGTAAATTATTTCTTAATTAAAGAGTAGCAAAACTGCACACAGTACTTCAGATGCAATCTCACCAAGGTTCTATTCAGTTTCTCCTGTATTCAAATTCTCTTGCCCTAAGGGCCAACATATCATGTTTTTAATAATTATTAATGGAATGTGGGTATTGCTGGCAAAGACAGATTTGTTGCCCTTTTGGAATTACCCATGAACTGACTGGCTTGTCTATTATTCCTGAAAGCAGTTAAGAGTCTGAAAAGGCATGTAGACCAGACCAGGTAGGGATGGTAGATTTCCTTCCCTAATGGACATTAATGAACCATGTAGGTTTTTATGATAGTTAATGGTAGTTTCCTGATCACTATTACTGAGTCTATCTTTTAATTCTAGATTCTGTCTAGATCTACTAGTGGCAGGATTTGGAATAATCTCCCTAAAAGGATGAACATGGGACTCTGGATCGCTAAACTAGTGACATTATCACTATGCTAATTGATTGCTGTGTCTGCATGTTAGCTTTCGATCGCTTCTGAACAAGGACACCCTGGTGCCTTTGGCCATCAACATTGTAATCTCTATTTAAGAAATACTTGTGTTTCTGTTTTTTTTTCTGCCGAAGTTGACAATTTCATATTTTTCCACATTATATTTCATCTACCATGTTCTTGCCCACTTACTCAGCTTGTCTAAATCTCTGTAAAGACTCTTTGCATATTCCTCACAACTCACATTCCCACCTAACTTTGTGTCATCAGCAAGCTTGGAAAGATTACATTTGGCCGCCACATCCAAAACATTGATAAACATTGTGAATAGCTGTTGGGCAAGTACACATCCTTGCAGTACCACAGTAGTGACAGCTGGCTAACCTGAGAATGAGTCATTTACTGTGTTTTTTGTCTGTTAACTAATTCTGAATCCATGAACGTACTCCCAATTCCTTGCACTCTTAATTTTACTTACTAACCACCTGTACGGAACCTTACCAAAAGCTTGCTAAAAACTCAAATACACTGTACCCACTGATTCTGTCTCATACATTCTGCTAGTCACATCCTTAAAAAAACTCTTAACAAGTTTGTCAAACATAGTTTTACTTTCATAAATCCATGTTATCTGTGCCCAATCCTATCATTTTTCCTAAATGTCTAATTATCACATGCTTTATGATAGGATCCATTTGTAGGCTGGTATGCTACCCTTGCTGTTTCTTAGCTCCATCAAATTGATTCTGTATTTTCTTGGATTCTAATTTGTTTAGCTTGTAGACCAGTGATTTGCACCATAACTCACAATCAGTTTTACTAATTTTGCCTTTGGAGGCTTACAACAGATGATATTCCACTGATATATAAAATGTAACTGAACTACCCAAACACAATATTTCCATAAAGAAAAATCCATTTTTTGAGATTGCATCTAAATCTAAGAAAATTCCACTTTATGTCTTTTTACGGGAAGTAACATCACTGGCAAGGCCATCCCTAATTAACCTTGAATTGAGTAGCTTGCTGGCTATTACAGAACACAGTTAAAAATCAACCATGTTGCTGTGAGTCTGGAGTAACATGTAGACCATACTAGGGTAAGGATGGCGGATTCACTTCCTCAAACCAGGTAGTTTTATAAATAATCAATGAGAGCTGTACTTTGGCGAGCTTTAATTTCCAGTTTAATTAACTGAACTTGTTTGCCACAAAATGGGATTTGAACGTTTGTCCCCAAACCATTAGTTTGGGCCTCTGGACTACCGGCCCAGTGTCATTACTACACTACCACTGTCTCCAACTACATAGTTTGGCAGAAATTAGCCCATTTGTTATCCACTGCTTTTTTCTTGTTCTCCCCAACCCAGCTACCTCTGTCTCTAGACTTTGCTGACCCTGCTACGTCCAGCCTTGCTGACTGGTGCCATTCACCATCTTGCTTCTTTTCCAATCACAAATTGTTTCTCTCCCAAGTTCCCTGCTGATCAGTTCTCTATGAGACTGAAAGCAGAACCTGCTACAGAGAGCCAGTCTGTCTTTGCAGGAGCAGGTTCTCACTGACCATGACAGTTCTATTTATGAGGGCAGCTTTTCTCTGACTGGTTGGCCCTATTGAATTTTTAAAGGCATTTGGGTAGCTTTCGGGGATGAATTCACTTACTGTACCCATATGTTTTGATCAGTTTTGCTCTGCCCAAAGTGTGCTCCTTGACAGATTCTGAATCCTGAGCTGATGCTTGACAACAAGATGCAGGGCTGGATGAACACAGCAGGCCAAGCAGCATCATAGGAGCAGAGAGGCTGACGTTTCGGGCCTAGACCCTTCATCAGAAAAGGGGGAGGGGAAGGGGGTTTTGAAATAAATAGGGAGAGAGTGGGAGGCGGATAGAAGAGGGATAGAGGAGAGGAAACAAACAGGTCGAAGAGGCGGGGATGGAGCCAGTAAAGGTGAGTGTAGGTAGGGAGTTAGGAAGGGGATAGGTCAGTCCAGGGAGGACGGACAGGTCAAGGGAGCAGGATGAGGTTGGTCGGTAGGAGATGGAGGTGCGGCTTGAGGTGGGAGGAAGAACAGGTTAGGGAGGCAGGGATGAGCTGGACTGGTTTTGGGATGCGGTAGGGGGAGGGGAGATTTTGAAACTTGTGAAATCCACATTGATACCATT